AGATTATCCAACGTCAAGGACCGTACTCTCGATACATGTACACCCATATCGCGATGGACACCTGAGCACTCGATGCACGTCAATACACCTAAGTTGGTTGACAGCCATGTGGGATCTGAAACAGATTCAAATTAACACCTTGAATTGTTCTTACATAGTGTCGTGTTTTACCTCTCCATAACTTATAAAAACAATAACGCTGTTTGTCCGTAGCAGTTTTGAAAGTTATGCAAAAAATAGTGGCGCGTTTCCGTATTGGTTTTGGAAGTTATAAAAGCAATGACGGAGAATTTCAGTAGTGGGTTTGGAAAATAACGGCGCGTTTTCAAAGTGAATTTGAAAGTTATACCAGCAACAATGGTGCGTTTCAGTAGCGGTTTTTGAAAATAACGACGCGTTTCCGTAGTGGTTTTGAAAGTTATACCAGCAATAATGGTGCGTTTCCGTAGCGGTTTTGGGAGTCTCAGCAGCGGTTTTTCTAACCTTTCGCCGTGCAGTCTACACAYGTATCGTTACCAGGAAGTCTCTGTACTTGATTAACTATGCTTTGCCTTAACTATAATAAACGATAGCTGAATATTAGAACAAAATGGTAGAACACTTATCAAATAGTTAAAAAAATCATATATCCCTCATCGCAAAAAACGAGCTGCAAGTTGCCTTTTGCCATGATGCGCTCAAAAGATGTCTGAGAAACGATTGCAAATCTTCGGCGGTTGATCACTGAATGGTAAAAGYCTCTAATTCTATTGATTATTGAAGTCTAGATATTATTGTTCAGTGGTCTTTTTAGTTTTTTTTTTATTTAGTACTTAAGTAGAGGCTGAGAATGGGACTAGGAAATATCATTACTGAGTACTAAATGGTATCAATCTTACCTCTTTGATGTTATGAACTATCGATGAAGATGAATTCTCTGGAGACTTAGTAAAGAAAAGTAAATTGTTACCAACGTTACATACAAAACATACAAATGTGGACTACCTGTGTTGAAAATGAATATAATATTTACTACTTGAGCCCGCGGGTTTATGATGAAAAAACCGYAGTACCAAAGGAAGCCCAARGACTATTATAGGTCTAGTACCTCGTTATCGTTGTCACCAAATGCTTTCTCTAATGCTTCTGTCCTGCTATTGCTTATGACAGA